TGCTTGGTTAGCTTTTCTAACTATATGAATTGAGGTCATAAAAATTTTTACAATTTAGATACCCTTGCCTCTAAGTCCTTCACCCTAGACTTTTATAGATCTACTCAAATAAGTCTACCACACATTACTGAAAATTCCATAAACTACAAAAGTCTACAAAAGTCCTTGATTATATAATTTAAATTACCTCTAAAATTTAATGGTGAGAAAGACTTGAGAGCTCATAAGATTTAATTTTTAGAATTCAAATCAAGAAAGAATAGAATCCAGAGTACAGAATCAGTTGATTAAATATATACATAAGAAAAATGCAAATTTGATAAAATTGCAAATTATTCAGGTGAAAATATGTAAAGAAAAAATAAAAATATAAAAAAAATTCTAAATAGAAATGTACTGAGATAACATTTGTTATCTCACTTACTTTAAGCTTTTAGATTACCTAAAACTAATGTTTTAAAAGACAATACGAGACGCAGCAATCTTTCCCTATTTCTACAATATACATAAATGATTAAAATTTACGGGGCAATGGAGGGCTGAGTACATATAAGTAGCTGTCTCTAAGTGTATAAAAAAGGTGAAAAGAAATCATAAATAAGGGAGTGCTTTAAATTTATCTAAAAAGGCACACAATTTATTGACGGGAGTATTAAACATTTGTCATCAAAATTTCCATCTCATATTTTTTATAAGTACAAACAAAACATGCTATTATAAAAATTAGGGTCATGTTTATTTGAACAATTAATCAGAAAGTATATTCTGAGTACTAAGGATGAAAAAAGATATTTAACTGATTAAGTTTAAAGGAGGCAAAGTCAATGAATGGGAAAAAATACAAAAATGTTCTATTAATTAAAGCATTAAAAAGACTGATCTTACTATTGGAAAGTCAAGTTTAATACCTATTTCAAGCATAATACTGTTTATTTTTCTAATCTCCTGTATGACTTAAATACTGTTGCATATAGTTGCAAAAATGAACAAAGGAAAAATCTTGGTATTCCTGATGGTCTTTCTAGACCACGTTAATTTTGGCTTTTCTGGTTAAATAACAAAGGAATAGAATTATGGCTAGAGAAGTTCAGCAACAAATTTTCCATTAAGATATGAAATCATGCCATGAGTTCCAAAAAAAAGGGTTAGTTGTATAAATCTGGGTAATAATCACTCATGCAAAAATCAGAAAATACCTGTACCGAGCCACCATGTCTGTCTGCTGCAAGGTGAGCTCTCAAATGGTGGGGATTTGCCTGCTGGGAGTCCCAAGCTGCCCTGTGGTCTGCCGACTGCCATTTATTAAATGCATATGGCATGCATGGAAGAAGAAAAACCCAATATGTTAAACATCTTATCCTCATAATATATAAAACAAATGTATAAAAGGAAATTTAAAATACCCTTACTATTCTGAATCACGGTGCAGTTATCTTTGTATACAGAATGTGGAGTGATTTTAGCTAAGATGTCAAATTGTGTAATGATCAACAATAAAAATAAAATAGAACCATAAAATTTTAGAAGTAAAAATACCTTAGAAATCACAGACTCTACCCTCTGGCTTTATAAATGAACTAACAAAGAACCAGAAAGGTAAAAATGCCATGACCAAGACAGAACTCCAAATAAATCATGGGCACACTAGAAGCCCACCCACTATATTTTTACACAGTAGAGGTCATCACTGGTTTTCTGATGAGGAGCTCTTTCTAGCAAGGTACAAATGATAGCCCTTAAATAACTGTACCTGAGATTCTAAAAATATTTTCTCTCTTGCTTAGTCCCCCATTTCTGATTGTGAGAATAATATGAGAAAACAGAAAAGTTCTTTGAAAAGGGAGAAGCACTATACAGAATACTATCAGAATATGACAAAACAAACATTTTTTTTTCTAAGTGATAATCCTATACATATGAATCTCTTTGCTTCCTTGATCTCCTTTTATCTGGTTCAAATTAAGGAATCCATGTCTATGAAATAATCTGTGAAATAATAGTCTATGAAAAACTCTTGATGTTTTTAGATCCCTTGGCAAATCTGCATGGCAATAACAAACCAGTAAAATTCATAATCTACCAGTAAAATTAAGACTAGTTTCTTAATAGGGGTCAACTTCTGTTTCAGGAAAATGTGGACAACACTAATAAAAAGTAGGGAGAAGAATATACTACTTAAGCTTTATTACATGTGTGGTTCTGAATTAGCTGCTTTATATTTTATCGTATTTTGAGGTAAATATTATCATCCCCTTTTACTGATGAAGACAGTGAGACATTAAGCACTTCCCTACAGTCACAGACCTAGCAAGGAGTACAAGAGGAATTCCAACTCAGAGCCTAATGCTCTTCCAGTAATACTACCCAGCTCCTTACCAAAATTAAATACATTCTAAAGCCTTCAGTACTCTTTTCTTTCTTTCTTTCTTTTTCAAACAAAGTCATGAAAATCTTGCCACAAAGTGCCAAGCATATTGGAGTATAGGGACCCTCCAGCATATTGCTGGCCAGAGCAACCTTAAGGGGAGAGATGTAAAATTCAAGTAGACACATGAATAAATGTTCTGGCACTAAGCTTCCTAAATTGTACACTGCAAAATTACATACTCTGTGGCATAAGGTATGTCATCAAAACAATGATAGTTCTATAATGTCTTTTCATTAAACCCTCCAAATTCATAACCAGAATTAAGCAGATTTGTAGCTTAAGTTAAAATCAATCAGATGAAGTCAAGTCTAGAAAAGATTAAAGAATAAAAATGATGCTAAAATTGAGACAAATATCTAGGGCAATCAGCAATATTTTGGGGTCGTGGAACTCTCTAAGAATATAGTAAGAGCTACACATTCTCTCCTGAAAATAAATAATTACAGGTACCCCACAATTTCAGGATCCCTTCAACTTAAATTTATCATTTGTCTAGGGGAATTACGAGGTTTAAGTCATTTGAAATAATCTTTCTTCCTCTGGGATTGTGAACTGTGGGTTTCTCGTAGAACTTAAGCTGCTTAGTGGTCTAGAGATATTTAAGAAGAGTTATTTTTAAATATACAACTTTTCTATCACGATGAAAATCCGTATATTCACATCCCAAATTCAATATATAAGGCTATCCTAAAGAATTGCCTACAAATTATATATATACATATATATACATATATACATACATATACATATATACACATACATATACATATATATACACACACACACATATATACACCCTACATTTAGTGCAACAAGGACTGGACAAATGAAACATGGTTCCCACTCTCAGTGAGTTTACAATCTAGTTAGCAAGACATGTCTGAAACATGTAGAAAACTAAAAGTCTAAAATATTAGATTTGTAATTTAATTCAACAATAGAGGAATTTCACTTATTATAATACCTAACAGCTCAAGTAGAGAATTTCTAGGAATACCATATTAATCTTCTTCCAAGTACATTCAAGGAATTAACTCTGGTTTATAAAACACATACTAAGTCTCAACTTCTGAGCCATTTCTTTCTTTATACAGAATCTTTTCACAGCACTCCAGCTGTCAACTAATTTTAATTTATATATGAAGTAATTTATGTATGAGATGCTTTATAGTACCAATTTTTCTAAGTCAAAAATGTAATATTAATCTTTTAAAATTGGCCATGATTTACAGCATAATATTGTTAAACACTCCCTAAAATGTAGCATTTTATTTTGCTATGATTTTTAACAAGTGGTGTTCTTTCTTTTGATTTTCATCCTGTTTTTATCTTTAATCTTCACTTAAACTTTGATGGGATAAACAATATAAAAGTAAAAAATGATGGCACGCTATCCTTCTCCAGAAAGGATTGTAACAGAAAATTTCTAGCCACTCCTTAATTCAGCGTGATAGCAAAATTTTTAAGTCAAAGATGTCTTCAATAAAACTTTCTTACCAAAAAAAAAGAGAAAGAGAGAGAGAGAGAGAGAAATTAAAACACTGCCCAAAATTTCAACAGGTTTCCATTCCTTTACCTGGCCAGGAAACATGAACTCTCTACTTGATCAACTTCTATGCCTTATCTCAGACTGACTCTCTACTCCCTCTCTAATCCATCTCTACCTACTCTCTGCTCCAAACAAATTGAACCGCTTGCTATTCCTCAAATTCTCTATTTTTAAACTTCTGCTTCATATTTTATATTATTCACTCTCCCCAAAATGCCCTTATTTCTTCATTTCCCTTTAAAAATTCCATTCATTCTCTGGGTTTGTGTCAAAAGCTACCTTTTCCATAAAATCTTCATAGAGCCCCACATATGATCTCCTCCATGGCACTTTATTAGTGCTTCATGTAATATAACTTATTCTCTTTTTAAATATAGTTATTTCTGTATTTATTATAATAATAATGATAACAGTAACAGCAGACACAGAGTTTTGATTGAATGAAAGCTTACTGTATGCTATAAATTAACATGTATTATTTCCATTTTATAGATGAGGAAACTGAGGCTTTGAGAGATTAACTTATTTGCCCAGGGTCAAACCATATCCATGTATGCCTGATTCTAGAGAACTGAGTGAGCTCTTAGCTACAATACTGCTTTTAGTCACTGGTGACAAAATCATTCTTAAAGGTTATACATTCTTCTTTACTTCTGAATTTCTATAATGTGTAGAATAGTAGCTTTACAATAGCAGAAATTCAATAAATAATTTACTGAACTAAACTACAGTTAGAAAGATCAAGTGCTATTACAATTCATTCCAATAGGGTATCCAAATACTCCCATTCTAACAGAATATCAAATATTGCTCAGTTTACACTAATTTGTACCATTAATTAGGGATTTATGATTAAACATTTTAATGCTATTATTAAACTAATAAACAGTGAAAATTAAGAGAAAATAGTTTATCTATTAAAAATATGTATTTTCAATCCTTCAGTATGTTTTATCTATTGAAGAAAAAAGTGTATGTTTCAATCATGAAAGGAAGATATTTCATATCTAAAGGGCAGCAAACCTGGTTTTTGGATTGTTGCATCTTATCTCTGTGTTGATGTGCTTCTCTGTTTGATGACAGAGCAGGATCTTGCTGAACTGCACCCACTGGAGTAGGCTACAATACAATAACAATTGGTATCAATACATTCTATTTCAGAAATCTTATTTAAAATCATTTATTTATCTGCTTAAAAGAATTAAGGAAAAAACAAAAGACTGTTAAATAAACTAAGGCTTTAAGTAAAGGCATCATTCTCAAAATAGGTTGTTAAAGCTAAGAAGATAAAGCAAAGAGAATATACCTAGTTTTTAAAGTGTTTTTAAAATATTTAAATTCTTTATAAAGTACTTATTTTTACATCTACAAAAGATCTTCTAATGCTGCCATCACTTTTAGGTTACATTTTCATATCAAAATGATAAAAATGTGTATGTTTATGCCTCTCATTTCCAAAGCAAATGTATAAATAGAATAAATTTTCAAGAAAATTAGAAGACTTTTTAAAAACTATTAAAATTGCTTATTTCCAATATTTTGACTTGAAGAGACTTATACAAATTTTAATTTTCATCAAGGTATTAAAGTATTAAATTAATCATGAGAATATTACACAAAAAGTTATTAAGAACTAAATCAGGATGGAAGTTAAAAGTAATTCTTCATGCTAAAATGCAAAGAATCCAGATGTAGGGCTTTTGAGAAACTCAAAGAATACTAGTACGGTGCTACCTGCAGAAACATCCTTTAAAAAACAATAAAATGAATCCTTTAAAACAACTATTTGTTCTCCACTCTTTTCAACTGAAGATACTGTACTATTAAAAAGACAACAGATACTATAAATAATATTTTATTATGTAGAATACTCACCAACTGTTTACCAATCCAGTCATATTCATAATCAAACATATATCCTTTTCGATCAAACAAGTCAGTAAAAAGCTTTCTTAAGTAGTCATAGTCTGGTTTTTCAAAAAAATCTAGCCTTCTTACATAACGAAGATATGTTGCCATTTCTTCTAGAAATAATATAAAAATTATCTGGACTATTCTTTTCTTTAATACTCAATAATAAAATTAAGTATCTAAAAGCACATTGTATTATATAAAAACACTTGAAAAGTAACAAAATTATATTTCAATTTAAATTTTTCTAAGTTAAATTACAACAAAATAAAGAAAGAGGAAAAGAAGGAAGGGTATATAGACACAAGAAAAATGAGAGGTTTAGTTTAACAACCACTATTTTTGCTTCATTTCATTAGGAAAAGCTAAAATTTTTATTTTTATAAGATTATTTTTAATATTTGGCAGTATGAGAAGTTGAATAAGCAGTTTAATAATGCATGATTAATCACAAAGCATCATATTCAGTTTACAAATTTAAAATTTTTTTTAAAATACTGGTGAGAACTGATTTATATGAAAGCGTCTGTATTGGCCTGCTGGATTTCCTTTAAAATCAGTGACATATACCAACTAACTAACAGAGAATTCAAATTCCTAACCTTGGTTTTGAGCAGTATTCTAACCAATCAAGCTAACAAAGGAAAGCTAAAACAAATCTCAAAAACATAACACAAGAGCACAGTGTAAGTCTTCTCTTAATTTCCAGTCAGATATTTAACAATTATTTGGCAATATACAAATCTCTGCATGCTATTGTAATTCCCAAATGTATTAGATATAAGTATTTTTAAGGGTAATACTTTTCAGAAGGAAAAGAAAAACAAAAAAACAAATATATATATATTAAAAAAAAATAGGCAAAATGGTGAGCAATTAGTAAAGCAGGGCATTTCACCATCACGACAGAGCACAGAAAATCACTACAGTAAGAGATGGTAAGTTACACCTAGCATTCACAGGCAGCCCCAGACAGTAGGAAAAAGATCACACCCAGCACAATGAAGCAATAAAAGTGGTATGCAGTGGCCTTCTTTATGTGGTGACTCTCCCACTATTCCACTTTCTAGCTAAATACCTGGCCAATTTAATTCGGCAACCCCATTTTCCCACTTTTATATAGGCTTCCTTAATGACAACTATTCTATCTGCCTACACCTAAACTGCTAGTACTATTAACCGATATTTTAAAAAATCTACTTCTAGATATTACAGCAAGAAAGGAAAATATATAAAGTTTGCTGTCAATGAATAATATAAACAAGCTTGAGAAAGAGCTACTTTCGTTATGTTGATGATAATATCATTATTACATTAATAATGCCAGCATTATACAGGAGAACCAGGGAATACTAAAGTGAGATAGGAATTCAGTATTTTATCTTCAAATTTAGTTCTCTTTTCACTTAATGTGGCTGCACAAATAAATCACAGTCGTTATTTTAATATACTAACAAGTTATTCTTATTCCTTAATTGATTTAGAAACCTTAAGTAAATTTTTGTTGGCTTAATTTGAGTTGCCATAAATCTACTTGAAAGCAAAATTATTTTCATAAATGCATACAGCTCCCCAATAAAAAATTAGCACAAGGCCGGGCGCGGTGGCTCAAGCCTGTAATCCCAGCACTTTGGGAGGCCGAGACGGGCAGATCAGGAGGTCAGGAGATCGAGACCATCCTGGCTAACACGGTGAAACCCCGTCTTTACTAAAAAAAAAAAAAACCAGCCGGGCGAGGTGGCGGCCTGTAGTCCCAGCCCACTCGGTGGCTGAGACAGGAGAATGGCGTAAACCTGGAGGTTGGGGCCTTGCAGAAGGTGAGAATCCCGCCCACCTAGCACTCCAGTGCTGGGGCGATAGAGCGAGACCTCGGTCTTCAAAAAAAAAAAAAAAATTAGCACAAAACTAGTGAGGTCAGTAAAGTCTTACTGGCCTTACTTAATATTAAAGTAAGTTTAATTTGAAAAAAACTTAACACCAAATCATAACTTACATATACCTCCTTGAGCTTGACATCGAGACCCCCCAAATGACTACACTGTATGATACAAAACTTTGTGTAACTGCATTTCTTGGGCCAAAATTTTAACTTATTAAAAGTATATCACTAAAGAAAATATTACTTCAGCTGGTACTGATCAACACTATTAACAGATAGGATTTTCTTCTATTAATACCATTTGCAAAGCAAAGGTACAAAGTGTTCCTGTGGGTTCGGCATCAAATGCTGACATCCTTTAATCATATTTTTAGCTCTTTTTTTTTTTTAAGCATAGAAAAAAAATTTATAAACTTAAGCAATAAAAATTAGCATTTCTTGTTTTCTGCATATAATGCATCAACCTCACATTATTCATTACCTGGAAAATTTTCACATAATACTTCTATTGGTGTAGCCCGTTTTGTATCTCCAATTTTCTGATACCTCTCTTTTAATGTGTCAGCCTAAAACAGAAAAAAAAAAATCTTGAGACTGTGGTAATTTAAAAATTATTTAGCTGGGGTAGCCTGTAATCCCAGAGCTTTGGAAGGCCAAGGCAGAAGGAATGCTTGAGCCCAGGAGTTTGAGACCAGCCTGGGCAACACAGTGAGCCCTGATGCCTACTTACAAAATAAAATGTTAAAATATGAAAATTGTTTACTTGGAAGAGAGGACCTTAATATCTTCATATTTCGTGAAATTCAATAAAGAAACACAAAAACAATTACCTTTAAGCCTTGCCAAGGAAGACTGCCTCTCAGAAAGTACATGAACATATGACCTAAAGCTTCTAAATCATCTCTTCTACTTTGTTCTGAAATACAAAAGAAATATAAATTTCACTTTTCTCTAACAGTTAAGGATGGAAGAATGAAGAGTTTGTTCTTTCATTATGTATAAATTAATTTTCAAAAGTTCAACATATAAATACAAAATACAGATATAGTACCTATAGGTGATAAATTATATCTATATAATGTTTTTACATTAAGATTATTGTGCATCTTTAAAACATTCCTTTATAATTTTTAGATGCTGTTAGAGATTTATTTTTCTGCTTAGATATCTATTCATGGAAGTACAGGTCAAGGGGAAAAGAGTTCCATGGTCAATCAGAGTCACTATATACTATAGCTCTGTCTTAAAGATTCAGAAGGTAACATATTAAAACTTCTGAGAAGTCTAGAGTTTAAAATGTTTAACTTTTTCAACCCTGCATTTCCTAAAGTTATATGAGCACAAAACTTCCATGATAAATATTCTCCATTAAATTAAACATGATTATGGGGTATTGTGTTTAATATATTTTAAGAAAAACTTGTGTTTGACACATACCAACCTTAATAACCCCTTCACTATCACCAAAAATACTGCTTGACCAACTGTCATTTTCAAGTTGTTGTAACAAAATGTCATTTAGCACATACGTGAATAAAGATCACAGACAAAGGCTCAGGGAGATGCTTATAAATATTTGTTGACTGAATGATATTTCAATTTTTCTGTCACTGAAGTTAAATACTTAAGATTTCTCGATATTTTAAAATAATACCAAAATGTTAACTATCAATGAGAAAATACTTTAATAAGAGGATGTTTGTTTATGTGCAAGATGTTGTATCCACATCAAGAACCATACTATTTAGGCAGTACTCAATGCTTTCAGAAAAGCAAACTTTTGAAAGTATGGATCTGAACTAGGATGAAGGGTCAGAAAAGGTTCTGATTTTTACTGTGTAAACATTCTATACTTGTTGATATGGTTTGGCTGTGTTTACACCCAAATCTCATCTTGAATTCCCATGTGTTGTGAGAGGGACGCAGTGGGAGGTAACTGAATCATGGGGCCAGGTTTTTCCCATGCTGTTCTCGTGACAGTGAATAAGTCTTATGAGACCTGATGGTTTTATAAGGAGTTTCCCTGCACAAGCTCTCTCTTTGCCTGCTGCCAGCCACATGAGATGTGACTTGCTCCTCCTTGCCTTCCGCCATGACTGTGAGGCCTCCCCAGCCATGTGGAACTGTAAGTCCATTAAACCTCTTTCTTTTGTAAATTGCCCAGTCTCAGCTATATCTTTATCAGCAGCAGCAGCAGCATGAAAACAGATGAATACACTTGTTTTTAATAACACTTGTTATGATTTAAAGATACTATGTTTGCTTTTATTTAATCCATATATATACTTCCACCAGACTGCAAGTTGAAGAAGTATACATCAAAACTGGTAGCCATTAAGGCTACGAGACTGGAAGACTAGAGAAAAGATTTCAACTTGCCATTTCACAAGCTAAAAATGTGATATAATGGAGAGTTTTTTTTTTTATTTCTTGCACTTTTTGTTATAAAATATAAGTATACGTTATTAAAAATAGCAAATTTTCCAAAATAAGTAGTGGCCTTAAAGTCCCTACATCCACTAATGAAAGTGGGGATGAGAATATGAAAAAAAATGTTACAACTTTTATAACAAAAACTTTACTTCATTAGATTCTGGTAGTCTTAAGGGTATAGTTTGATAAGTTTTAACAACACACACACCTGCATAACTACCACCACAATCAAGATGCATTTCTAATGCTCCAAAAGGTTTCCTAAAGTCTCCTGCCTATTACTCTCCTCCAACTCCCACAATACCATTAGCCTCAGGCAACCACTTATCTGCCTTCATCACTACAGATTAGACAGGTGCACATGAATGGAATCATACAGTATAGATTTGTGTCCAAATTCTTTCACCTACTAAGTTTTCAGGATTTATCCATGTTGTTATGTACAATTATACCTCATTACTTTTTAATGCTGAGTAGTACATTAAAATGTGTTTATTCATCTGTTGATGGACATTTGAGTAGGTTCCAGTTCGGGGCTATTGTGAATAAAGCTGTTATGAACATTCTTCTTGTACTAGTCTATGTTGACATAGGTTTTCATTTATGTTGGGTTAATATCTAGAAAGTGGATTGCAACATGATGTTGTAAGTATAGGTTTAACTTTATAAAAACCTTCTATACCGTTTTCCAAAGGGATTGTGTCATTTCACATTTCTACCAGCAATGTATGAGAGTTTCAGTTGTTTCATAACCTGTCCAACCTTTAGTATGGTCTTCTAAATTTTAGCCATGCTAGTGGCTATGAAGTATAAGCAGTAATAAATCCTTTCAGAAAAGCAAACTTCAAAGTATGGATTAACTGACTGAACTTGCATTTCACTGGTGACTAAAGTTGAACTTTATTTCATGCGTTTGCCCATTTAATAAATTGGGTTGTCTTCTTAAACAGTTGTAATAGCTCCTTGTATATTCTGGATACAAGTTATTTTCAGATATGTTTTGCCAATGCCTTTTCCCTTCAAGAAAACAGTTTGCTATTTTTTTGATTCCTTAAAAGTAGGTTTAAAAGAAATTTTACATTTTGATGAAGTCCAATTTATCAGGGTTTTTTTCCTCTTATTTTTTATACTTTTTGATGTCCAATCTAGGAAATCTCTACTCACAGGACCACAAAGATCTTCTCCTGTTTTTTCTTCTAGAAATTTTATAGTTACGGTTCCTACATTTTAACCTATTATTCATTTTGAAGTAATTTTTTTTTTTGCTTTTCGTGTGGAGTAAGGATTTAGATTTATTTTTTTCAAATTGATATCTAGCTACTCTCGTATAGTTTCTCGGCAAAACTATCCTTTCCCCTCAAGTTGCTTTTGCACCATTCTCAAAATTCAATCAACCATCTATGTATAAGTCTATTTCAGACTCTGTATTCTGACCAACTTATCTTTATCTGCCTTCATATCAATACCACCCCAAATAAACAGAAAGACAAAATAATGACAAATGAGGAAATCAATGACCAGAGAATGACCAATGGACAATCAGTAATGAAAACCGATGAAAACAAAAGCTCAATAAAATCATTAATCTTCTTAGCAGGCTAAAAGAAAGAAACACAAATTACCAATAACAGAAGAAACAGAGGAGGCATCAGAACAGATCCCACAGATATTAAAAGAATGATAAAAGGGTACTACGAAACAATACAATGTTAAACAACTTATATGAAATGGACAAATATCTTGAAAGCTACTAATAACTAAAACTGCCTCAAGAAGAAAATGTAAATAGCTCTGCATCAATTAAAGAAATTAAATTTATTATTTAAAAACTTCCCAAAATACAATCCAGATAGCATCGCTACTGAATCCTATTAAACAGTTCAAGAATAATACCAATTCTACACAAACTCGGGATTAGAAGAGTTCCCAACTCACTGCATTACCCTGTTACCAACAACAGATAAAGACATTACAATTAAAGGAAACTACAAGAAATATTCCTCATAAACATAGACATGAAATCCTTAAAAAGATAATACCTCATGACTAAGTAAGCTCATCCTAGGAATGTAGGTTTGGTTTAACTTTTAAAAATCAATCAATATAATTCACCAAATTAATAGAATAAAATATAAATCATGTCATCATCTCAGATACAGAAAAAGCACTTGACACAATTCAACATGTATTAATGATTTTTAAAAACTCTCAGCAAACTAGGAACTACAGGGCAACTTCATCCTGACAACAACTATGAAAAATGTCAACTAACATAATTCTTAAATGATGAAAGTCACTCCTAAGATCGGGAACGAACAAAGATATCCACTCTTACCCTTTCTATTCAGTATTGTACTGGAAGTTCTTGCCAGTACAAAGAAGCAAAGAAAACAAAATTAACAGATACTCAGATTGGAAATGAAGAAATAAAACTATTGCTCTCTGCAGACAATGGGATTGTATATGTAGAAAAACCTAAATAATCTACAAAAGGTCTATTACAACTAGTAGGTGAGTTTTAGCAAGGTTACAGGATATAAGGTTAATATATAAAAATCAACTGGGGCCAGGCTCGGTGGCTCACACCTGTAATTTCAGCACTTTGGGGAGGTCGAGGCAGGAGGATAGCCTGAGACCAGGAGTTCAACACTAGCTTGAGCAACACAGAGAAACCCCAACTTTACGAAAAAAAATTTTTTTTTAATTAGCTGGTGACTGGGTGTGTTGGCATGCACCTATAGTCCCAGCTACTAGGGAGGCTGAGGTGGGAGGATTTCTTGAGCCTAGGAGGATGAGGCTGCAGGGAGCCATGGTTGCACCATTGCATTCCAGCCTGGGCAACAGAGCAAGACCCTGTCTCTACAAAATAAAAATAAAAATCAATTGGATTTCTATACTCACGACAAGTAAGTGAAAATTGAATTTTAAAACCAATACCTTTACAACAGCATCAAAAAACACGAAATATGTAGGGATACATTTATCAATGTATATGCAAGACATATATTATATGCATATTATATACTATATATGCCTATAGTTTAAAGAACTTAAAATACAATACAGTAGGGATACATTTATCAGTGTATATGCAAGACATATATTATATGCATATAGTTTAAGAAACTTAAAATACAGTACAAGTAAAAGTATGCTGAGCCCTACAGTAAGACTTTGTTAAGGAGAGAAACTCAATATAAAAGGCAAGTCCTCTTTGAATTCTATCCAAGAGGAGCTTTAGTAACATAGTGCTAATAAGCCATGGTCATAAGGTGATCTCGCCTACATGGTTCTATCAGGGAACAGTATTAGTCTCATAACCCACAAAGCATTTCAAAATTCAAGCCATAAATATTAGCTAGTAAAATAAATCTACTACTGAAAGTCTGAAATGCTCTTTACCCTCATAATTCCTCTCTTTGTGTTCTTTCACCAAATGACATATCTGGAAATAAATATTACCATGTAGTAAGTTATAGAAAT